ATTTAGACACGTGTGCACGTGTCTAAATGTTGTCAAAAATGGTTGTTCAAGTATCATTTTCCTAATTAATTGGACATCCTTTAAGTTTACATTTTTAAATTTTATTCAACTTATTAATAATTAAAATTTTGAAAAAATATTTTTGAAAAAAACTTTTATATTCTAAATTAGTTTTTTGAAAATCAATATAAAAATGCAATTTGTTGTAATCACTTCGGTAAAAAAATTATACAGAAAACCAATTTTTGAGACAAACGGTTTAAAAACAAACTATTTTTATACAAGTTAACCCAATAATCGGTTTAAAAAGTAACTTTTTGAATTGATAAATATATAAGAATTTTCTTATATTTTTTTTTTTGAAAAAATTGGTTATAAAAATTTACTTAAAAGCTGTTAAATAAAAAATGTAAAATTAAAGAGTATTTTTCGAAATTTTTTTATTTCTCCCAATGTTGATATATTCAGCAACGAGAACTGAATAAATTTCTAAAAGACATGTATTCTTCTTCTTATTTGATCTATACTCGACATTGACACAACTACTATCGAATATTATAGCTTACCAACACTTATTGTTTCAAAAGTTCAGAAGTGAAAAAAAATGTATAAGTTTATAGAAAATACATAGTTTGTATATAAACAGGAGATTGCATAGCTTTATGTTCGACTAAGTAAATACATATACGAGGTGGAGAGACCGACAGAACTCTATAACCCGTGACAAAAAGAAAATCCTGTCTTGGAGAAAGGAATTGTTGAAAAATAATAATATAAAAAAAGTTAAATGGTTGAAATTGGCATACCTTCAAATTTTGACTGTTAATTCTTTTTCATTTTCCGATTGATAATCATCCCAAACAAGATTGACATGAGATATGTTGTGCCAATCCTGTCCAATTTCTGGCCTGTATCTTTTCCATAATTCAAAAGAACCAGTGACATTAATCACTTTTAGATTTGTGAGGTGAAGCATGTTATGAGGGACTGATAATAGGTTTGGACAATTGAGAACTGAAAGTCTTTGGAGACAATTTAGAGTTGGTAGCCAATCGGGAAGCTCCTCAAGATTCAAGCAATCTACAATACCTAAGGACTGTAAAGAGTTGGCAGATCCTTGAAGCCACCGAGGCAATCTGACTAGACTTGGCAAGTCTCTAAGAATGAGAAGCTTCAACCTTGAATAAAGGATTTCGTTGCTAAGGCCCATTGACAATTCCAACTTGTTGCACTCTGCAATCACTAAAACCTCTAAATTTTTTATGGCATGGAACGGCACCGTCTTTAGACTTTTACAATCAATTAAAGTCAATCCTTTAAGAGTGAGTAGTAGTATTCCTTTGAACAATGACTCCAAATTATCACAATGATAAAACCTTAAATCTTCTATAGAAGTCAAACTTGCAACTTCTTTTTCTGGAAAAACAGGTTGTTTGGTGGTTATAAACAGGTGACGAAGGCTTATTAGATTTCCTAGTCCTTCGGGTAACTTTTGTAGCTTTATGCATCCCTTAAGGTTCAAGACTTGCAAATTTTGAAGTTTGCAAACTGAATCAGGGAGTTCCGTAAGGTTTTCATTGTTCGAAAGGCTGAGATATCTTAAATGTTTCAACTTTCCGATGCAGCGAGGCAGACTTTCGTATTCACACAAATCTAAGATTAAAACACTCAAGAATTTGCACCTTGATACCAATGTATTCAAGAAATCTTCATTATTAGCTCCATTAGGAAAAAAGATACTTCTTAGACTTGAGGGAAGAAGAGCTTGATCAAGCAAATTATTATTCATTAATAACAAATGATGGGCATTCTTGTATAAGTTTGGATTGTGGTTTTGTATTATTTCAAACTCACCCTTTGCAATATATACGGCAAGATCGACCACCAAATCATGTAATTTAAACCGACAATCACCTCCCAAGTCTTCATATTCTGAAAGAAAAGATCTTGACCATAGCTCATGCAACAATTGAGTGGTAACATCAGTCATTGATTCACTTGCCTTTGGTGGTGGAAGAAAACCAAGTGCTCCCCATAACATACAAACTTGAGAACTAAAAAGAAAAGTGTCTTCTGGGAAAAGGGAGAAAGAAGCAAAACATGGTTTTAAATACGAAGGCAGTTGATCGTAACTTAGTTTGAGAGCAGGCAAAATGTCTTTTTCATTTTGTTGTAAATTCCAAATCTCATTGTCTCTTACACTCTCCCACTCTCTCTCCTCAACCCTTGAGAACAGTGAACTCCCCACCGTTTTCACCGCCAATGGTAACCCTCCACATTTGTTTACTATTTCTTCCCCAATTTTCAATAGTTGTGGATGTTTCATCTCATCTCCATCTTCAAAAGCATATTTCACAAATAGAGAACGAGAATTCTCATCAGAGAGACATCCTAGAAGGTACGAATTTGAGGATTTAGTGTGCATAATGGCAGCTACTTTATGGCTACGAGTAGTCACTAGGATCTTACTCCCTTCAACACCCACATCTATTATTTCTCTCAACTCATCCCATCTTGCACGATCCTCGTTCCACACGTCATCCAACACAAGCAAGGACTTCTGCCCTTCAAGTGTATTTCTCAAATGAATTTGAAGTTGCTCTGTCTCAAAGTTATTGAAGTTTTCCCTATTTGGGTTTGGAGCAGAATTGAGGATTTTAATGAGCACATTCCTAAGTTCAAAGTCATTGGAGACACACACCCACATCCTCAACGGAAAACATGCATTAATAGTGGCGTCATTGAAGACCAACTTAGCAAGTGTGGTCTTTCCCGAGCCTCCCATTCCCACAATGGGAATAACTGAGAGACTTTGGCCATGATCATCTTTCAACAGAAGTTTTATTATTTCTTGTTTATCATCTTCCCTCCCTATAACATTGGAAGGGTTTACATGAGAATGAGTCATTTCCCTCACGTGCACGACACGTGTGTCTAGATGAATGACTTGAAGGCCAAACATGCTTCTTTGAGCTGCAAGTTTGGCCAACCTGGTGTTGATGTCTTGAATGTGATGCGCCATTCTAAGACGATAAACAACAGGATTACTTGATGAGAAGAAACGGCGTACCTTTCTTGAACAGCTACCATAGGTGTTCACAACGTGTTTCCGCAATGCTTCGCACTCAAAATCATCGACTATGTCTTCAGCATCAGAAAACACGCGCTTGATTTGAGTCAGCCATTCGCTCAGGGCACTGCTCTGCGGATTCTTTTTCTCGGCATCTAAAAGCACACCTCTTATGAGTCCCATAGTTTCTTTCATGTGTTGAAGATGGCGGTGCACACCAAACGCTAGAGAAGCTTCTTGAAGGGCAGCAGAAGCAAGCTTCCCAAGGAGCGATTCTGCAGAGCTGAAAAGAAGCGATTCAGCCATGAGTTTTAAAAGTGGAAGAAAGAGGAAGGGAATGGAAAGGGGTTTTTGAAGTTGAATCATATATCAGATAAGTATGATATTTATATTTGTGGCCGAGCGAGCAATAGAAATGACTCTCATGCATGCCTCCTCTTCGGGAAAGGTATTGCCTTAAATGAATCTGTTGAAGATATGTAGCATTAAACAAAAGCTTAGACAGAACATTCTTTGTTCCTTCCTTTGCCTCATCTGAGACGTTTCGTTTTGGATAAATCATGCATCGGGTTCTATTTCACATCTATCTTGCATATACTATGCTTCTTTCAAGTTCCAAACCTTACATACGCAAAGTCTATTCCTGTGAAATTTCAAATGCCTACTAAAGTATTTATGCCTTTTGCTTGTTAGCTAAATCTGATAAAGTGTAATGCAAATTTTAGAAGGATGTAGAAGCTCCTTAGATAGAAGAATTGAAATGTAATACAAGTTTTAGAATATTGTAGAAAAGCCAAAGATAGGAAGAAAAATCAAGAATACTCTACATAAGTAAAAATCTAAAACATTCCTAATAAATTGTGGCTAGTATGTTCTAGAATAATCTATAGGTCTATAAATACCCATGAACTCTATCATTTGATGCAAGATGTAGACAACATCTACCATTTGTGTGAAGCTAACATCTACTATAACTAAAAACAACTACAACACTTCTTCCAACTACTACTTTCATATTCAACTATCTCTACATCTTCTGTATCCCATCAACTATTCCTTTCACAACCTCAAAATACTAACAGTGGTACCAGAGCTATGTTTTGTCATCTATTGGGCGTAGATAAAAATTTTCAACTACCTCAAACAAAACAATAGCTCATTCTACTACTTCCAAATATATTCTCAACTCATGACTACTATTAATCAAACATCATCAATTCCAATACCTATTTTCAAAGGAGAAAACTATGATTTTTGGAGTGTCAAAATGAAGACATTCTTCTGTTCTCAAGATTTATGGGACATCATAGAAGAACGATTCACTCACTATTCCAAAAGACACATCCACTCTTACTGCAGCTCAAAAGAAGGAGTTGAAGGAAAACAAGCAGAAGGATTCAAGGGCTTTATTTGTTCTTCAACAAGCAGTTGATGACACAATTTTTCCAAGGATAATTGGTGCCAGAAGTGCAAAACAAGCTTGGAACACAATACAAGAGAAGTTTCATGGAAGTGACGAGGTACACAATGTTAAACTTCATTTTCTAAGACGAGAGTTTGAATTATTAAGAATGAAAGAATCTGAGACCATTAAAGACTACTATTCTAGAATAAAAGAAATAATTAGTCAGATGAGAGCCTTTGGGGAAAATATTCTTGAGAAAAAAATCGTTGAGAAAATTTTAATTTCTATTCCCCAAAAATATGATGCAACCGCAACCGCGATTGAATAAACAAAAGATTTGGCTACATTATTAGTCACACAACTAATGGGCTCTCTTGAAGCTTATGAACAAAGATTGAAAATGCATGAAGAAGACTCAGTTGAAAATGCCTTTCAATCAGAACTAAAATTACGGTCTCATAATAAAGAATATGAAGGAAATAAAGGTAGAGGAGAAATTTATAGAAATAAAGAAAATTCTAGAAACTTCTTTATTACTCGTCAAGGAAAATATCCTCCATGTGACATCTGTAAAAAGACAAGTCACTTGGAAAAAGATTGTTAGCATCATGGAAAACGTCAATGCCACTATTGTAAGAAGTTTGGTCACGTAGAGAAGTATTGTTGTAATAAAAATAAGCATCAAGCAAACTTTGCGGAAGAACATAATCAGGAAAAACTTTTATTCTATGCCAATCAAGAATCTCCTAATGGAGAAGTGAGTTGGTACTTGGATAGTGGATGCAGTAATCACATGGCGAAAGATCAAAGTATCTTCAAAGACATTGATAAATCTATCAATGTCAAAGTTTGGCTAGGAAATGGCACCACAATGGAGTCTCGAGGCAAATGAACTGTCATGGTGGAGACAAAGAAAGGTACGAAATTCATCACAGATGTTTTACTAGTTCCCAATCTTAAAGAGAATCTTTTAAGTATTGGCCAAATGATGGAGAATGAATATTCTCTTCATTTTGAGAAAGATACATGCAAAATTTATGATAGTAATATGATAGAAATTGGCCAAGTAAAAATGGAGAAGAGAAATAGAAGCTTTCCTGTAAGCTTCAAACTTGGAACTAATATTGCCATGAAGGTAGAAGTTGATGACTCATGGCTTTGGCATAGGAGATTTGGCCACTTCAACACACATGCCTTAAAGTTTTTATATCAGAAAAACATGATGAAAGATCTTCCATGCTTGAAAGAGAATAATGAATCATGCGAAGGATGTCTCCTCGGAAAACAACACCGATTACCATTCTCGACAGACAAAGCATGGAGAGCAAAAGACTTATTGGAGTTGATTCATACCGATATTTGTGGACCGATGAGAACACTTTCACATCATAACAACATGTATTTCATCCTCTTCATTGACGACTTCTCTAGAATGACATGGGTCTATTTCTTAAAGGCAAAGTCAGAAGTTTTTGGAGTATTCAAGAAATTCAAGGCCCTTGTTGAGAAGCAAAGTGGAAAACAGATAAAAGTACTTAGAAGTGATCNGAGAGACATCCTAGAAGGTACGAATTTGAGGATTTAGTGTGCATAATGGCAGCTACTTTATGGCTACGAGTAGTCACTAGGATCTTACTCCCTTCAACACCCACATCTATTATTTCTCTCAACTCATCCCATCTTGCACGATCCTCGTTCCACACGTCATCCAACACAAGCAAGGACTTCTGCCCTTCAAGTGTATTTCTCAAATGAATTTGAAGTTGCTCTGTCTCAAAGTTATTGAAGTTTTCCCTATTTGGGTTTGGAGCAGAATTGAGGATTTTAATGAGCACATTCCTAAGTTCAAAGTCATTGGAGACACACACCCACATCCTCAACGGAAAACATGCATTAATAGTGGCGTCATTGAAGACCAACTTAGCAAGTGTGGTCTTTCCCAAGCCTCCCATTCCCACAATGGGAATAACTGAGAGACTTTGGCCATGATCATCTTTCAACAGAAGTTTTATTATTTCTTGTTTATCATCTTCCCTCCCTATAACATTGGAAGGGTTTACATGAGAATGAGTCATTTCCCTCACGTGCACGACACGTGTGTCTAGATGAATGACTTGAAGGCCAAACATGCTTCTTTGAGCTGCAAGTTTGGCCAACCTGGTGTTGATGTCTTGAATGTGATGCGCCATTCTAAGACGATAAACAACAGGATTACTTGATGAGAAGAAACGGCGTACCTTTCTTGAACAGCTACCATAGGTGTTCACAACGTGTTTCCGCAATGCTTCGCACTCAAAATCATCGACTATGTCTTCAGCATCAGAAAACACGCGCTTGATTTGAGTCAGCCATTCGCTCAGGGCACTGCTCTGCGGATTCTTTTTCTCGGCATCTAAAAGCACACCTCTTATGAGTCCCATAGTTTCTTTCATGTGTTGAAGATGGCGGTGCACACCAAACGCTAGAGAAGCTTCTTGAAGGGCAGCAGAAGCAAGCTTCCCTAGGAGCGATTCTGCAGAGCTGAAAAGAAGCGATTCAGCCATGAGTTTTAAAAGTGGAAGAAAGAGGAAGGGAATGGAAAGGGGTTTTTGAAGTTGAATCATATATCAGATAAGTATGATATTTATATTTGTGGCCGAGCGACCAATAGAAATGACTCTCATGCATGCCTCCTCTTCGGGAAAGGTATTGCCTTAAATGAATCTGTTGAAGATATGTAGCATTAAACAAAAGCTTAGACAGAACATTCTTTGTTCCTTCCTTTGCCTCATCTGAGACGTTTCGTTTTGGATAAATCATGCATCGGGTTCTATTTCACATCTATCTTGCATATACTATGCTTCTTTCAAGTTCCAAACCTTACATACGCAAAGTCTATTCCTGTGAAATTTCAAATGCCTACTAAAGTATTTATGCCTTTTGCTTGTTAGCTAAATCTGATAAAGTGTAATGCAAATTTTAGAAGGATGTAGAAGCTCCTTAGATAGAAGAATTGAAATGTAATACAAGTTTTAGAATATTGTAGAAAAGCCAAAGATAGGAAGAAAAATCAAGAATACTCTACATAAGTAAAAATCTAAAACATTCCTAATAAATTGTGGCTAGTATGTTCTAGAATAATCTATAGGTCTATAAATACCCATGAACTCTATCATTTGATGCAAGATGTAGACAACATCTACCATTTGTGTGAAGCTAACATCTACTATAACTAAAAACAACTACAACACTTCTTCCAACTACTACTTTCATATTCAACTATCTCTACATCTTCTGTATCCCATCAACTATTCCTTTCACAACCTCAAAATACTAACAGTGGTACCAGAGCTATGTTTTTTCATCTATTGGGCGTAGATAAAAATTTTCAACTACCTCAAACAAAACAATAGCTCATTCTACTACTTCCAAATATATTCTCAACTCATGACTACTATTAATCAAACATCATCAATTCCAATACCTATTTTCAAAGGAGAAAATTATGATTTTTGGAGTGTCAAAATGAAGACATTCTTCTGTTCTCAAGATTTATGGGACATCATAGAAGAACGATTCACTCACTATTCCAAAAGACACATCCACTCTTACTGCAGCTCAAAAGAAGGAGTTGAAGGAAAACAAGCAGAAGGATTCAAGGGCTTTATTTGTTCTTCAACAAGCATTTGATGACACAATTTTTCCAAGGATAATTGGTGCCATAAGTTCAAAACAAGCTTGGAATACAATACAAGAGTAGTTTCATGGAAGTGACGAGGTACTCAATTTTAAACTTCATTTTCTAAGACGAGAGTTTGAATTATTAAGAATGAAAGAATCTGAGACCATTAAAGACTACTATTCTAGAATAAAAGAAATAATTAGTCAGATGAGAGCCTTTGGGGAAAATATTCTTGAGAAAAAAATCGTTGAGAAAATTTTAATTTCTATTCCCCAAAAATATGATGCAACCGCAACCGCGATTGAATAAACAAAAGATTTGGCTACATT